ACCTGTGTATAGTAGCACTTAGCACGGTGCCTGGCCCGTAGAAGAATCTCCATAAATTTCTGTTGAATGAATGAATGAGTAAAACCCTAGCCTGGAAGTGTTTGCCAACAACAGTGCGAGTTTGATCCAGAAACTGCCTGCTGCTTCCCCACCTGGTGTGCCCACCCTTGAGGCGAGCTAAGCCCCTGAGGCTACGTGACCAGGGAAGGCAGCCTCCCATTTGTCGATGGTGTAGGCCCATCTGATCAGCCTTAGCCTGAGCTGCACTTTGCCTTGGGACTATGGGCATAAGCTGTACAGTCCCTTTCCATAAAGGTTGGACCTACTTCCCTGACCTCTCCAGTAACTGTTAAGAACTAAAAAAGAGGAGAAATTAAACAAAAACAAAAACAAAAAATCCTACCAGCCATGAGGAAGATTTGTTCAAGATATTTTTGTCTTCATTTCTTGGACTAAAATCAGGAGACTCAATTTTGACACTTGCATTTTGTTTAAGGTTGGTATACAAAGATGTTTTACATTTCTGCACCGGGCCTTCTCCCATTCGGTTATGACAGCTTCCTTTGATAATCAGCAGTTTTTGTGCAATGGTGCGTATCCTAACAAATCTCATGCCTTCACAAAAACTTCCTTACAAATTGTTTACTGTGTCAAATTGCTCATTATATTTTGCCAGCAGCTTTGCCTTGAGGATTTTAGAATCCTATAGGATCCTTTACAAAACTTCTACTACCGAGAGCCTCCCCGTGTTTTGATTAGTTTGCTTCATATACCCATGATGCAATAGGCTTCAAAATAGTAATACTACACTGAACTGTGCTTCGGCCGTAAATATGACTACCGGCAGAAATGTCCTGTGGAGTTGAAAATAACGTGAAATATAAACTACTTGAATAAATCAAATTAAGTACCTTTTCTCGTGTTTTGAAGTGAAAATCGATGCTCTACAAGACCCAAAGAGCTAATCAAAATGCTACTAAGTCTGTGATCCTGCACTTTGTAAATAAAATATTATATACAAGTGTTTTTTTCTTTTTTGGTTGATAATAATAACAACATTTATTGAGTGCTTCTTACTATGTGCCAGGCATTTTTCTAAACCTTGTACATGTATTAATTCATTGAATCCCACAGCAACCATAAGAGGAGATATAATCATGATTTTCATTGTTCAGATGAAAACAGCAGAATCACACACACAAAAATTAAGTAAAAAAAAAAAAAAACTCACGCAGCTAGAAAAGGCAGAGCCAGGTTATGAGCCCAGTCAGTTGGCCCCCAGACCCACCACTGATCTATATACCCCTACCAAGGGGAAAAAAAAAAAACAGTTGCCATCAAGTCGACTCTAACTCATAGTGACCCCATGTGTGTTAGAGTAGTACTGAGCTCTGTAGGGTTTTCAACGGCTGATTTTCAGAAGTAGACCACCAGCCCTTTCTTACGAGGTGCCTCTGGATGGACTTGAACCTCCAACCTTTCAGTTAGCAGCTGAACCTTTTGCACCACCCAGGGGCTCCTACCAGTGTAAACCTGTTGCTGTTGAGTCGATTCCAACTCATAGCAACCCTATAGAACAGAGTAGAACTGCCCCATAGGGTTTCCAAGGAGAAGCTGGTGGATATTTTTCCAGTCCCAAATTCTCATATATATTGTATTTTAAGTCTTGTTATGCAACCTACTCTTTTATGAAGGATAATGCTAGATTTTCATCCACCCTGAATTTTAACTATTGCTAATAAATAACTTGGTACAGTGATGTAATTGAGTTATTTTGAAATCCAGCTCTGCCACTAACCAGTTATATGACCTCGGGAAAGTTTCTTAACCTTTATGAGCTCATTTGCTATTTTGTGAAGTAGGGATCATTACTGCTGTTGAAGAAGAAAATGAGATAACCGTACTTAAATTGCTGGCACATAAGTGATCAATAATGATCAATAAGAATCCCCTACTCCATGTTTAAGTAAGGACACTAGGAAATTACATTAACTCTCATGAAGAAGAAAGTTCTACTGAGGGATTACTAACTTGATGTTGTAAATTGCATTCTATTAGCCTGAAACACTGTCTATAGTTCCCTAAGAGTCCAAGTTGTATCAAGAATAACAGCATTTATGTGGCTAATTGCCTCCATAAACAACTACCCTTTTTGCCATGAGACCAGAAGAAACGGATGGTGCCAGGCTACCATTACTGAACATTTTGATTAAAGATTCTATAGAATTGTATGAGACCACTGTTATTAGAACTCAAGAAAATGTTTAAACACAGAAGAAAACATTCTTTGATAATTACGAGGGTGGGGAGGGGTGGGGAGGGAGGGAGAGAGGAATTCACTAACTAGATAGTAGACAAGAATTGTCTTAGGTGAAGGGAAGGACAACACACAATTCAGGGGAAGACAGCACGACTGAACTAAACCAAAAGCTAGGAAGTTTCCTGAACACAGCAAAACACTTCAAGGGACAGAGTAGCAAGGGCTGGGGTCTGGGGACCATGGTTTCCAGGGACATCCAGGTCAACTGGCATATCAAAGTTTATTAAGAAAATGTTCTGCATCCCACCTGGGTGAGTGGTGTCTGGGGTCTTAAAAGCTAGCAAGTGGCCCTCTAAGATGCATCAATTGTTCCCAACCCACCTGGAGCGAAGGAGAATGAAGAATGCCAAAGACACAAGGAAAATTTTAGCACAAGAGACAGAAAGGGCCACATAAACCAGAGACTTCATCAGCCTGAGACCAGAAGAACTAGATGGTGCCTGGCTACCTCCAATGACCGCCCTGACGGGCAACACAACAGAGAGTCCCTGATGGAACAGGAGAAAAGTGGGGTGCAGAACTCAACTTCTAGTAAAAAGACCAGACTAAATCACCTCCCACCATAGATGACTGGATCGTGTTTGGGCACGTGACTTAAAGGCAGCCAATCCAGAGCGTGGTCAGAGACCCATGTCCCGGGAGTTGGTCCAATCTGATTGCTTTCTTGGATTTTGATATTAGCAAACTGAGAGATGGAGGCCATTATCAAGGGAGGGCAGAAAGGGAAGTAAATAAGAGATGCCCGAAGCAAATTGTTAGGGCTGGAGGAAACTTGGGAAGCCACAAAACCATGAGCAACATGAAGGTGGAATAAAAACAGGTCAGAGTTACAGAGAGATGCAGATGGAGAGAGAAAGAGTCAAATTCCTAGACTGTTTGGATTTAGATTATTTTCCAGTTGTGGTTCCAGTTTACTTGGATCTTGACAATACCAAACCAGTTGCCATTGCGTCAACTCCGGCTCACGGCGACCCCATGCGTGTCAGAGTAGAACTGTGCTCTACAGGGTTTTCAATGGCTGATTTTTTTGGAAGTAGATCACCAGGCCTTTCTTCTGAGGCACCTCGCGGCGGACTTGAACTACAAACTTTCAGTTAACAGTGAGCATGTTAACAGTTTGCTAGGGACTCCAGATCTTTAGAATCGACTTTCCAGTACTCGCCCTAAGATCTATATTCTCACGCAGGAAGCTGAATGAAACAGCCACAATATGAACTTGGGACTGTGGAGAAATGCTGACATTGGCCATGGGACCCCACAGTGTTAAAGACGTTTATTAGCAGAAAATGAGGAGCTCTTTCTTCTGATGTCCCCAGGACCATGTGTATGTCTCTCTGCAGAGGAGACATGTGCTAATGCAGCTAACAGTAGGACCTCAGGACAGCGGCCTTCAGCTGGTCAGCGCAGACCACCAGTGCTGAGCCTGGGACCCACGTGCGCCCCTCTTCATGGTGGTGGGGAAGAGTCACACTCTGGGAAAAGAAGCCTGAGCCGCGAAAGTACAGCTGAAATTAGTGGGAAGCGTAGGGAGAACTCCAGATGCTGAGAACTGGGATGACTATAAACACATTTGTTGCCACAAATCCACCAAGCTTGCTTTTTAAAATTATTTTTATATTTAGTAAACAAACCCATATTCTCTTTTCTTGGTTGCAAATGGACTACTTCTTTAGGGAATGATAATACTCATACCGGTTAGCATAGTTTGCTATTCTTTTTTTTTTTTTTCTCAATTGCTAGTTTTGAAAGCTTGGGAATTGAAGCATAAACACTACCATTTACAATGACTTTTCAGGTCTGGTTGATGCATACCTGTCACCTAATTAATTTTTTTTTTTCACTTTGCCAACGTTCATGTCCAGGTGTTATTCACCTACGTCAGCCGTAAACATTCTTTACTATGTCACATCGCGACATCGGATGTGATGCTCCAGTCATGGGGTGGGTGGGGACGTGACGTGGCAGCTTTGGCGTAGCAAGGTAATCAGTTGCAAGTGATTATCTAAGTTGATGCTTGGACATTTCTCCTATGCATAAATGATAAATCAATGTCCCCTCTTATACTACCATTGTCTCTTCGTTAATATGTTGAACAGTTGAGGGATGTCTCCAGCCAATCGGGAACACGTATTTCAGGAGCTGTTATTACTATCCCCGCTGCACGAATTTGCCACATAAGCATTCATATGTTGACATCACCACAGCACCTGCAAACCTGTCTAAAGCAAGTTCAGGGACTCTTTCTAATGGGTCACATGAAATCTGTTCCTCTGCTTGCTTTCCGTACTGCCGAGGAGAAAGGTCTGTCTCTGCCCTCAGCAGTCACATTTCTTTGGTGTCTGTTGGCAGGGTTTAGAATCCATTTAAAAAAATTTTTTTTAATTTAAAAAAAAAAACCTGTTTTCTGATCAACAGGTTTGAGGAAACCCCTACAATCATGTAAAGATCTGTGTGCTCCTCCCCAACACACACACACACACACACACGTACCCAGGCACCCGCACACAGGCACGCACACATGCATGCATACACATGTACACGCACACATGCATACACCCACGTGCAGGCACAGGCACACTTAGCATTCTTGCCTTTTGTACATGGAGCAATTGTGAAATGGTTGACATTGGAGTGGCAAGCTTCTCACAGCACTCCTAAAATCCCAATGTTCATTTTACAGGGCCGCTGTTCAAGAGAGAACTGCAAGTATCTTCACCCTCCGACACATTTAAAAACTCAGCTAGAAATTAATGGGAGGAACAATTTGATCCAGCAAAAAACAGCAGCAGCGATGCTTGCCCAGCAGATGCAATTTATGTTTCCAGGAACACCCCTCCATCCGGTGGTGAGTACATTTCATCTAATGATGGCGTGACCATTGAAGCTTTGGTACAGACAATGCAACAGTGACCTAAAATGGCCTCCCTCTACTTTGTCACTTTGGCTATGATTAAAGCAAATAGCTCCAAAGCTAACTAGCTGCTGGAAAATACTTAGTTTTTATTTAAATGGAAACATTTGTGCATAGACAGTAGGCAATTTCAAATCAGTATCTTGGAAATCTGCACCACTCCACTTCTTTGTCATCAGTAAACCCCTTCTTTGAACCATCTTAGAGTGGAAATCATTCTATGTGGATTGATGATCTATGTAAAGAAGTGATTTTGATGCCTACCGCGTTTTTTTAACAATGTAGTTGATAGGTTACTGAGCTCAGTGGGATCATTTTAGAGGTGAGAAAAGTGAGCAGCCAGAGGAGTGAACCGGTTTACCCAATGCCCTGCAGCTAAGAAATTGTGGAGCTGGGACTCGAAGGTGGGCATCTTGGCTTGGACTCCTTCTCCAGCCTGCTCCACACTTGAGCCCGATGCAGCCCCAGTGAAAAATGCCCGAAAGGCAGTTGGAGCCATAAAAGGAGACTTTGCCTTAGTCATTTATGCCTCCTGCCTCTGAGGCATGCAAAGAGGGTGGCAGTTGTGACAATGACCACAAGATTAAATACCTAAGGGAGTTAAGTGTATGAATATGTATCCTGTAATGTTTTCTCCCTGTTTTCACAGTGTTTGAAAGTACTTCCTGAAAGATCTTGAAATTGTTTTAGGAATGAGGCCCGAGGGTAAAGAAGTGCGTTTGACTTTAGTGGGTTTCATTTACATTGGTGAATTATTTGTCAAAACCAAGCTAGTTTTTTTTTTTTAAACAAAGCCGTTGATGTGAGTGATTTTTTTCCAGAGTACATACACAAAAGACTATTGTTTAAAAATCAGTCTTTATTGTATGAAAAGCTGTATGTTACTGAAAGCTACTAAATCAGAAGGACTAGGTACCAGTGAGTTAAGTTGTCTCATTGTGTATCTGTCAAATGAGGGGAGAGGAGAAGAATGAGGGTGTTCCAGGAAGAGCAGAGAGAATCTGGGCAGGTTGTTAGCAATTCCGCTTCATCTCAGGTTTTCTACTCGAGGATAGAGGTACAAAGCCTCCAGGAACCAGCTTTTCCTAGAGTAAAAGAAATGCCAAGAGCAGGGGCTCCAAGGTAAATAAGAGAGCCTGTTGGAGGTAGTCAGACACAAGGAGAGAACAAAGTCATATTCAGGCATAGCAGTGATGAGATTGGACAAGGTGGGTAGCTTCATCCTAAAGATGAGTCAGAGTTAGCCTGCATGTAAAGATTGACATAAAGCTCTGAACACATTTAACACCAGAGTGGTTCTATTTAAAACGATTCACATATAGCATTTATGGTTCTCTTTATTGGTGCACACATACAAATTATTTTATTAAGTTACCTAAATGCTAAAAAGAACTTACTTATACATATTAAACAATGATTATAGCCCTAAGTTAGAGCAACCAAGATCAGCATAGTAACAGCGCTGTATTATGTGTCTCAGTCTTGATCACACCAGCACCAGTTGCCTTCACATTGACTCCAACAAATGGCGACCTCATGTGTGTCTGAGGAAAAGCTTCATACGTTTTTCAATGATTAATTTTTTGGAAGTAGATTTCTAGGCCTTTCTTCTGATGTGACCTTGAACTGCCAACCTTTCAGTTAACAGCCAAGGACATTAACCATTTGCACTAGCCTAGATTTCCCTGACTCATACACTTTGGATTTATTTAGAATTCATAAGGATTGACCGTGGCACTCAGTAATGGCAATTTGAATAAGAAATTTATATTCAGATATTGCCTCAAGAAGTTAATAATCATGATTTCTCTGGAGCAAGGGAGAATAAAGAAAACCAAAGACGTAAAGGAAAGATGGACCGCAACTACCACGGCCTCCACCAGACTGAGTCCAGCACTACTAGACGGTGTCCAGCTACCACCACTGACTGCTCTGACAGGGATCACAGTAGAGAGTCTCAGACAGGGTTGGAGAAAAACGTAGAACAAAATTCTAACTCACAAAAAAAGATCAGACTTATTGGTCTGACAGAGACTGGAGAAATCCTGAGAATATGGCCCCCGGACACCCTTATACCTCAGTACTGAGGTCATTCCTAAGGTTTACCCTTGAGCCAAAGATTAGACAGGCCCATAAAACAAAACAAGACTAAATAGGCACACCACCCCAGGGGCAAGGACGAGAAGGCAGGAGGGGACAGGAAAGCTGGTAATGGGGAACCCAAGGTTGAGAAGGGGTGAGAGTTGACATGTCATGAAGTTGGCAACCAATGTCACAAAACAATATGTGTATTGATTGTTCAATGAGAAACTAATTTGCTCTGTAAACCTTCATCTAAAGTACAATGAAAAGGTTTTTTAAAATAAAAATAAAGAAGCGTGATACTCAAGAAATACTTCAGAGGTAGAAGTAACAAGACTTGACAACTGATGAAATGTGGACAACAAAATCAGGAGGAGTCGGAGATTCCACCAAGGTCCCCAGCTGTGGCGACTGGGCAGACGGCCGATAGGGATTAGGGAGAAAGAGCAAGTGTAGAGGAGGTGACCTGGGAGTTAGGTGCTGAGCCTGAGATGCCTGCAGGACATCCAGCAGCCAATAGGAGTGCAAGACTCAAGCTTAGAGGAACGAAGGAGGTTTCATAAACGTACATTAGAAACTGTACTTTTTTTGGTCCTAAACATTTCATATATGTGTAATTGACATTTTGAACCTAGAAATAAAGGAATAATGAAATTGGGAGAAAAAAAAAAGAGGAATATCAAGTTTCAATATTTTAATGACACAGTGGTTAAGAGCGCAGGCTGCTAACCAAAAGGTCAGCAGTTCGAATCCACCAGATGCTCCTTGGAAACCATAAACTCTGTCCTATAGGGTTGCTATGAGTCAGAATTGACTCAACAGCAACGGGTTTAGGTTTTTTGGTTTTTTAAACCTGAAAAGGATTAGAATATTTTTTTTAAAGTGACAAGTTTAAGAAATCACCAACAGCTCTATAAGCAAATTACTCTAGGCTCTCAGAAATAAATTAATAACCTGGTGTGGTTCAGTGGGCAGACAGTGGCCCCCTAAAGATGCCTGGAACCTGTGAATGTTGCCCTTATATGGAAATAGGGTCTTTGCAGATGTGATTAAGTTAAGAATCTTGAGATGGGAAGATTCTCCTGGACAAAAAGCAATCAAAAGTGCCTTTGTAAGGGAGAAGCAGAAGGAGAGTTGACACAGAATTGAAGAGGAGAAAAGCAGTGAGACCATAATGGCCGTGATTAGAGCGATATGGCGACAGCCAAGGAATGCCATCGGCCACCTGAAGGTGGAAGAAGCAAGGAACCGATTATCCCCAAGAGTCTTCAGAGGGAGTGCAGTCTTTCTGACACCCTCATTTTATAAAACTGATTTCAGACTTCCGGCCTCCAGAACTGTGAGAGAATAAATGTATGTTGTTTTAGACCATCAGGGTTGCGGGACTTTGTTACAGCAGCCACAAGAAAATAATGCATGCAGAAATTGCTTAATGCGAATAAACTGATAAACACAGAGTAGCAGGTACCGTTCCATTTTTAGGTTTTCTTCTAAGCGGAACTTCTCTAAAGAACTATGGATGTTTTCCACACTTCATCTTCCATCCACTCCTGAACTCATTCCACTGAAATCTCTCTGATCAAGGTCACAAGGATCTTCATATTAACCAACAGGGTAGAGATTTGTGGATCAGATAAAAGTTAACACGTGAAGACAGCATGAGATTTTCAGCAAGAGCAAAGGCCGTGAGGCAAGCAAGCGCTTTGGGTGTTCACAGAACTGAAAGTTTGCTTTGGTCTTAGTGGACATGGGAAGAGTAGCAGAAGATACATAGGTGAGCTGGGTGGGCGCCAGATCACAGAAGACATTATAGGTTAAATCATGGTTGCATGTTGAAGCTTTGTCCCCAGTGAAATGGGAAAGCATTGAGGGGTTTTAAGTAAGAGAGTGATATGATCCTATTTACGTTTTAAGAAGATTTTTTCTGGTTGCTGTATGCGTGATGTATTAGAGTAAGGAAAGAGTGGATACTGAGAGATTAGGAAGGAAATGCTTTTAAGACATTTTGAAAAAAGGTTGAGGGTAGAGAATTACATGGACTTGTTGCTGGTAGGTGCCGTCCCGTCATTTCCATCTCTTAGTGACCCTGTGTACAAAAGAATGAAACACTGCCTGGTCCTGTGCCATCCTCACAGTCGTCACTATGCTGCTGTCCACCTCCAAAAAACCAAACAAAACCAAACCTGTTGCTGTTAAGTTGATTCCAACTCATTGAGACCCTGTAGGACAGAGCAGAACTGCCTCATAGGGTTTCCAAGGCTGTAATCTTTGCCAAAGCCAACTGCCACACCTTTCTCCCACAGAGCAGCTAGTGGGTTTGAACCACCAACCTTTTGGTTAGCAGCCAAGCACTTAACCATTGCACCACCAAGGCTCCTTCCTATCCACCTCCAGTCCCGATTATTCTCTATCAGTGGATCCTCGTCATTTGCTGCATATCCATGAAAACTAATTTCAATTTTATTTGCTTGTTCTTTGCTATTAGGGTTTAAGTTCAGTAAATGCACACATGGCATACTAGTACCATGTTTGTGGTGATAAATATTTATTAAATGAATGCATGAAAACGCAAACCATTCTTCCCTCTTACCGCTCTTCTGAAGGCTTCAGTTCACTATGTGTGAAAAGTCCCCTTCACCTTATTCCTCCTAGCAGTTTTTCTCTCCCAAATTCCTGACAGGATTTAATAATTTAACAGTAATTCTTCATTTTCCTTCCCAGCAAACTCCACCCCCACCACACCCTCCTCATGTACACTCAGGAGAGAGAAGAGGAGCAGGGAGCTGTTAGTGGGTTAGAGATTTGAGAGTCTATAGAGTCTAGTCCTTCGGGATAAGGCCTTGCATTGAGTA